AGATCTTCAATAAAAAAATTCTTAAAAATGCCTGAAGTTCTTTATTTACTAACTCTAAAATGGAAACAATTTTACGATAGATGGCGTTATTAGTATAAAAAGAATATGTGACAAAAAACTGATGAACAGAATAAAAATCCAATTGCAATGAAAAAAAAAACATTTAATAAGTAGAAATAAAAAAAAATATTATATATTTATTACATATTACTCTTATATTAATAATACATCCAAATAATACAGAAATTTTAAATTCAACAAAACTATATAAAGTGTTTATGTATAAGACGGTAGAGTAAGTTAAACGTCACTACCAACTACCAACTTACAAAGCAAGCTACTTGAACTTGTACTAGCATTATAGTCACTACAAGAACAAGAGACGGAAATGACAGCGCCATCTCGTGGTATAAAGCACAGAATATCAATTTCTGCGTGTACCTATGATAACAATTTATTAACATTAATAATAACGTATGTAGAGAGGAGGGGGGGGGGGGATGTCAAATCAAGATTAGACGGCGCTATAATTTGATTTGTTACGTAGGCTAAATACATGTATTATTATTAAATAAAATAACTTTCTCATGTACAACGATCCAACATCACTGCTTTGTTTTATTTCGACACCAGAGGACGCTCGTCCACAGTACAGTGCTGGACTGTTTGTACAATCCTATTACATGATTAATATTTTACTTCACTGTGACTTTAAACAATCATAAATAATTAAAGTGTTATTTTATTTTTAATTGACTAAGCTACCAGTCTAAGACAATATTTTGAATGCTCCTAACATGCACTTAATTCTAATTTTTTATTGCACTTTTCACAACCTCACTTTTTAAAACCTTTTCTTTATAATCCTTTTTAAAAGTAAATAATTTATTATTCAATAGTAAAAAAATAAAAACAATATTTTTGGTTAATGGTAACCCAAAAAAAACGATAGCAAATTAAAAAAAAATAACAATAGACAACAAATTCTATTTAAAAACACTATGTACATAACAAAAGACCAATAAATAATTAAAACAAATACGACAAACAATTATTATTAACATAATAAAAGAATAAACAAACTGTAAATAAATTCCTATAAAACAAACGTGATTAAAAAATGAAACACTGGGATCGGTTAACAATTGACAAATACATAATATATATAAAAAAATACAATCAGATTAAATACTTCTATTTCTAAGTCAGTTAAAAACTTAAAACAGGCTTAAAACATGAACCCACCATGGACATTACAGAATATACCATAACGTTCATGGTACCCTTCAAACATTACTATTCCCAAGGACTATATTTAATATTGGCAAAGCATAAACATAGCACTGACTGGCAAAACCTTCCAGGGGAGAGGAGGGACTATTAGAAATGGCCCCATTGCTAACTAGATATACCCTATCAGGTGGACCTCTACGCGGTTCGCCCTGGAAACCGTCATGGTTAATTTATGTCGAATTCTTCACGATAGGTCGACTGACCTTCCTTCATGGGGTGAAAGGGATTGTTAGTAATGGAGACTGAGAATCCCATTGCTAGCAATACACCCAACCAGGTCGACCTCCTCGCCGTTCCCCCTGGAAACTATCATGGTTAGTTCCTGATGAATTCATTATGATGCGCTAACTGGCCTGTTTTCATTCTCATCTATCACCCTTCACTAGTGCTCCGCCGGCGTATCCCGTTAGCGCAGGCGGAGTTACCGTTACCATACCATTTTCACCCATAAAAAAATTCGATTTACGATATTATAATTAAGAATGATTTGATGTATTGTATGTTTGTTACAATCATTGTCTAGTTATATTTTTATTATATTATTAAAATGACTGGGGTTTAAGGACTAACTTACTACATAACTTCCATCTAGTCACTCTTTGGCCGTCGCTGGCCGTGTGTGCTGTACGCTTGTGGTACATTCCTGTACTGCCACCACTCGACGGCAACAGCGACTGCCGCCGCCACCACCGCCGCGCTGATCACGATGCTTTTGAGCAGGAAATCCATTTAGAGAGCGTGTGGCAACCCTGAATAGTAAAATCCTACTGTTTTAATATTTTACATAAGAAACAATAAAATTTGATTTTTTTTAATGGATGATAATGGAATGGTTTTACCCCGCCTGCGCTATCGGTATACACTGGCGGGGTACCAGGGACACATAATAGGTGAGGATGAAGCAGGTCAGTTAGCCCACTGTGACGAATCTAATAATAAATCAATCACGATGGTTTCATGGATGGACCCGATAGGATATATCGCTAGCAATGGGGGCTACTAATCCTCATTACTAACAATTCCTTCTTCTCCCAATAAAAGGTGATTAGGGAAACATAATGCTTGAAGGATGGGCCACAGGGTCTCTTTTGAAATGTATGATTTGACTTGTCCAATAAAAGATGCTAATGATTGGCCACTCCATATAGAAAATGTACCCATTTTAAAATTTTTAATAACATGTCTCCTTTATATATGTACCATAAAGATTTTTAATCCAACATTTTATATGTTTAAGTCACCAGAGGAAGACTTTGTACAAAAGTCGATTGCTTGACTACCTCTGTCCCATTCGTGTTTCTACTATGAAGCATGGCTGTGTTTCGGTTTGAAGGGTGGGATATGGCAGTGAATTTACTGGGTACAGAGGAATGACACCTGAGTCCTCAGGAATGGCAACGCATGGGGGGTATCATGGACGAAACAGTATACTCTGTTATGTCCATGGTACTGCTCATGTCTATAGGCGACGGTTACCACTTTCCGTCAGATGGGCCGTCAGCTTGTTTGCCATTCTAAGTTGCATAAAAAAAGTCCTCTATATGGATACACAGTTCCGCTTATATTTTTAATTAGCAACTATACTTTCATGGCTGTTTTTCACATTGATGATGATACATTTATCATTATCACATCAATCATTAACTGTCCATTGCTGAACATAGGCCTTCCTCTATTAAAGGGTCTTGCCATTTTTGGCTACCATCACCACTACAGGTGATGGCAACTAATTTCCTATCGTAGGCTTCTTTTTAATGAGTGAAGATGCAATAGTTAACCCCGCCTGCGCTATTGGTATAGACTGGCGGGGCACCAGTGAAAGATGATAGGTGAGAATGAAGACAGGTCAGTTAGCAGATTGAAACAAATTCACCTGGAACTATGACGGTTTCCAGGAATTTGCATGGAGGTCGACCTGACAGGGTATACTATTAGCAAAGGGGTCAGAAATTCCCAATAATAACAATTATTTCCCCCCAGATCCACTATACACTGTCATCTTATTTGCCACTCAACTTGCATGGAAAATAAATACCATTAGAGTTAAGGGAAACAGGTAAATAATTAATATGTTTGATACTGTAGTTCTCTTTTATCTCATCTTCATTGGTAGGAAAACATAAAGGTTAAAAATGACAAAAATGTAAAACAAAAGATAGAGAATCAATAAAAAAAAAATATAATAGACGTATTATGATGACCAGTAATACGCCACAAGAGTAAATAATATATAATAATAGAAATGTTTTTTAATTACACTTACCTGTGTACAAATATCTACTTGCAAAATCACTAAATACTAAACTTTTTAATGGTTCGTTGTTTCCACAGAACACAGTATACTACTTCTTATCAATACAATATGTATAGTATTGTCAAATTCTTTTTTTATGTATCAATTAATATAAATATCTAGATATCTAGAACAGAAGTTGATAATGATTCATCCAAACTCGACAAGATTGTTGATTGCTACGTCATATTTCCTGTATTCGTTATTTAAAAATTAAATTATAAATTTCGACGCAAAAGATCTAGAAATAGTTTAGTGTTAAATAATTAATTGTATTAAGTACGGAAAATATTCAAATAGAAAAATAAATTAAGAAGATCAACAAACAATATTTGATAATACTAAGAAAATTCATTAAATTGACATGACATGACAATGACAGCCAATGTCACTAATTAACTACTGCTATAAGAGCACACAATGAGCTTAATTAATGAAATTGGAAAATGAATCAAACCACATAAAAACATTAATACAATAAAATAATAATATTTAATATACCATAGAACTTTTTATAAGTAGCTATATATTACACCAACCTCAAATAACAATTGCGAAAAGAGTAAGAAGATAATGATAGTGATGAATATTGTAGAACTATTTATAAATAGCTGCATCCCGCGGTTGTCTGCGTGAATCAGTACACAAAGTATACTCTGTACTAAATTAGGATTTTACCTACCTGTGCACCAAATTGCTTTTGAATGTACTCAGTAGTTTTTTTGTGAAAGACATACATACATACATACATATCTGTCACACCTGTCTCCCATTAGGGTAGGCAGAAACAATGGAATGCCAAATGCTTCGATTCAAACAAACCTCTTTCGCTTCCTCCACATTCATTAATCTTTTCATACACGCTCGCCGGTTACGGGTACTTTTAATTTGGCCCTTTTTCAGCACGTCGCCTATTTGTTCAACATACGTCCGTCTAGGGCGGCCCCTACTCACATCTCCATTCATTCTTGCTTGATAAATCTCTTTTGTAATTTTTCTTTCATCCATCCTCTCCAAATGACCAAACCAAGGCAACATTCCTTTTTCGATTTATGTCACTACATCGTCTTTCAGTCCACACTTCTCTCTAATCACACTGTTTCTCACTCTATCTGTTTCTTTCTTCTTTTGTAAAGAATACTCGTAATAAACATCTGTTCATCCGTCCAACATTACAGTTTCACATTAGTAACATCAATATAAGATCTGTGTAAAACATTCATCCCTACAGATATTAAAAAAGGTGTAACTACTACTATTATTATTAATAATAATTATAATATCAAATTTATATATACAAATCAATCAAATATTGCATACGATATACAAATATTTTTATGCATAGTGACGAATCTGGTAATAATCGACATTGATTGACACTGACAACCGACAATTGGAGTTCGAACCACAGAGTAGGTAGATACATAAATATTTTGAATATGCATACAGTTTAAAATCTGTGTACTTCCTAATATTTCGTCGTGTCTATTTGTAACATTTATAAACATACCTAGTTTGTAATCTTGGCTGCGCAGTTTTTATTAGTGTTGTAATATTTGTTTTTTAAAATGAGTTATCGTCCTGAAGATCGGGATAAAAATAATTGCCCAAGCCGCGGTCTCGGTTTAGCGGCTGCAGTGTTAGGCGTTGGAGTTGGGGCTGCTTTGTACTACTTCTGTAACAGGCGATCACAGAACCCTCACAGTGAAGGATCTACGAGCCAGTGGACATGCGAGCAACCAAATGCCTTGTGAGTAATAGTTTAAAGTTCATTTTATATTTAGCATATGCGCTTTCACTATATATTTTTAACAATTCTATTTACCTTGATTATTCATTGTTTATAAAAAAATTGTGTTATTCAAGTGGGTAGAAGCTTAATTAAAAATTTAGATGTTTGTCCTAACATTCGAACCTTTGATAATTCCTTGACCTTGAAATATTTTTTTTAATATTATTTATTAAAGTGTTTGTGTAATACTTAGGTAGGTATAAGATCTTTTGATATTATTATAGATAATATACTGTATGCTATACAATATCAGTAAGTACCTACCATAGACAAAATTATTAGGTAACTATTATTTTTAAATCTTTTTTTTTTGTTTTACTTAAAATACTTGTTTACTATCTACAAACTTAGATGGTACTGTGAGGGGTGATCTTTTTGTATGGATGGTAATGGAATGTTAACCCCCACCTGCCCTGTCAGTATACATTGGAGAGGCATCAGTGAGAGTGTCAGATGAGGATGCAGCAGCTCAGTTGGCTCATTGTGGTGAATTCAACAAGATATAACCATGATGGTTTCCAGAGGAAAGTGCATTGAGGTGTGCCTGATAAGGAATATTGCTAGCAATGGAACTGTTAGTCTCCATTACTAAGAATTCCTGTTCCCCTTACGAGGAGCGGTAGGGGTACCAAATTGGTATATTATAAAAGTGGGTTTTTTTATATTTGGTTTTGCAACGCATGGTTGCAGTTTACTTGTTTTTCCTTCATGGAGTGGTGCTTTTCCCTCACTACTTTTTCCCTTTTTACCATATTTAGCATTTTAAAATTATGTTTTTCAATTATCCATAAAAAAAAATCTGGAAGTAAATTTTAATTTTATTATTATGTTCTTATTAGTTCCAATTCTAAAAATACTCATGCTGGAAACTAGCCCATGTTTTCTATCAGTACCATATCAGCCATTAAATGTCCACCGTTGGACATAGGCCTCCATCCATTGGGGGATTATGCCATGCTTGGCAAGTAGGTTGGTAACTGCAGTTAGATTTTGTAGATGTATTAAAAGAGACACTGCTCCCCATCTCTCTACTGTTAAGTTTCCTTAGTCATCTCTTACAAGGACAAAGGAAGACGTAGCCCCTTCCTTTCCTGTGTGAGTCATAAGAGGCTGATGGTGCAGTGAGATATCGGAATCCATGGAACACTTGATGTGCAACTGCGATTCCTTGGCGAGTGTGTGTATGAGTCTACTAGGAACGGCTTATCCAGAGCTAGGGTACTACAGATTTCATAAACTGTGGAATATTGCAAAAGTAACACCTAAGATCTATATAATAATGGTATAGGGCATTTGGAAACATAAAAGATTGCTATAGGTGGATATGCAATGGCTTTGCTGACCCTGTATGTGAATAAAAGATAAGGGACATAAAAAAAGACATATCTCAAATATGATAAGGTCATTGTGCTAATTTTTTTTTTTATACTTTTTATTTCTTATTACATTAAAATATAAACATAAAATATAAAATATAAATATGTTTGGTTGTATGTGTTTATTTATGTATGTATATGTATATGACTATGCTGTCACAAATATTACTCTATTTTCCGCGCTTAGCCTTTCATTTGGGCCGTTGTGCGTATGAGTCGTGGTTAGTACAGCCAACCTAGTTCCGCTCAGAAGCACAGACGCTCCTTGGGATCTTCACAGGCCTCGCGGAGCGACCTCGCCGTTCCGAGGATTTCTAAACGTTGATGGGCCACAGCTTCACATTCTAGGATTACGTGAGCAGCCGTTTCTTCGGCGTCGAAACAGCCTCGACATAGAGGGCTGTCTGTGGCTCCTATTGTGTATAAATGTTTGTTTAATGGACAATGACCTGTTATTGTCCCTATCATTATTTTGATGTGTCTCCTATCTATATGACGTTAGTGTGGTTACCATACTGCCTGCCAGGCATGGAAATTACTAGCAAAACCCACCTTTTGAAGAAAGCCTATGTTCAGCAGTGGGCAGTAGATGGCTCATATGATGACTTGGTAATTTAATAATTGTAAACTGTATATAGAAATATAATTAAAATATAAAAATTATATTTAAATGATGAAGTAGTTGCTCAAGTGGTAATAGTAATCCCAGTATAGCGTAGAGGGTGTGAGTTCCAGTCTCGCCACATCAAAATCAATTATATTAATATTCCAAAAATATTTCCAGATATTATTTGTGTTTACTTATAATTTTTTCTGGTACAATCTTGGCTCCATTACTATAATTTAACTTATTAAAAAAAACTACTTTTGATTTTTTTTTTAATATATATTTATTTGGATTTATGAGAATTCCTTTGCGAGGTTGGAACAGTCATCTGTTTAGAAAAAGGAGAAAAAATTAAACTGTAAAAGTTTTTTTTTTTTTATTTAACAAGGGGCTAGTGTTGTTGAATATGCAACTTAAAACAGATATGAAATGGGACAGAAAATTAATGAAATACATTCATATATATATTCTTTTAGCTGCCTCATTTCTCCATCTCTTTTTTTTATTAATAGACTACAGTAACTTACCCTCAGATGGGCTGTATGCTTGTTTGCCTACTTTTTTTTTTTAAATACTACTTAGAATGGCAAACAAGCTGACGGCCCACCTGATGGAAAGTGGTAACCGTCGCCTATAGACATGAGCAGTACCATGGACATAACAGTACACATACATACAGTTTTGCCAATGATACCCCCCATGCGTTGCCATTCCTGAGAACTCAGGTGTTATTTCTCTGTACCCTGTAAATTCATAAATAAATGATATAAAAAAAATGTTTTTTTTAGTTGTCATAAAATTTAAGTTTTATGCTATTATTACTAATGAATAAAGTGTAGTGTTTTGTAAATAGAATGATCAGGATGAGACAATTAATATAAGATAGAAGGAAGGAGTGAAAATTTCCAGGAGATAAGAGAGTTTATAAATTAATAGTCATTATAAAAGGCAAAGGAAATGTTACATTCATGTAAACACTGATTATGATATCACAAAAAAATTCAAAGCTAGTGATGTAGACAAAAAAAATCTGGGAAATAATTGTAAAGCTAGTGATGTAGACAATAAAGAAAAATTTCTTTTTTTTTTTTTGTTTAAAAAAAACATGTAAATAGACAATGTAATTTTTAATACTGTCATATGTCTTCGATTTTTAAATTCAAGACATATGATGGAAATAGTTCATTAATTAACACATTGAGCGCCACGCGTATTTCTACAGCAATCCCGTTCAGGCCACGCGCGCCGCTTCGAAGCGCTGGTACTGCAGGAGCTGGTGTTTCCTATCGTAGTAGAAGGTAGTTTACGTTTGGAACGTGATTCCTATAGGCATTCATTGAACACGTTACGCACCAAGTCTGTTTTGTTTTCTGTAATTCCGTAAAATAGTGTAAAATTTTATAGTTCTCATGTTACACGCTGTCAGACACCGATGGCTGACGCGGCCTAAACGGAAAGTCTAGTGTCAGCCATCGATGGCTGACATGGCGCTCAACGTGTTAAACACTGGTATTGCGATTCATAAACACGATTCTAAGTTCTGGACAATTACCAGTGAGGTTGATGTAAATGTTACACAAGATTTTACTTTCTAATAGTTTATGTAACAGTTTTAAAGTCGAATGTGTACTTGTATATATGTATATACATACATAATATGTAGTAATATGTATAAATTGATCAATACATAGATACATTCTATCTTTTATTCTACATAATATTTAATAATCTATACTTATAATAAATCTGTAGAGAGGTCAATTCTGTACATGAAATATATTTCCAAATAAACTATCAGCAGGTGATTAGTGATCGATACTGATGCCAAAAATGCAATCTGTAAAATTTTAGTCTATTTGTCTGTAAGTTCGTTATAGAAACAAAAACTACTCGACGGATTTTAACGTAACTTGGTACAATTATTCTTCATACTCCTGGGCAGGTTATAGTATACTCTTCATCACACTACGATCAATAGGAGCAGAGCAGTGAAGGGAAATGTTGGGAAAACGAGAAAAGATCCCGTGCGAAGCGGGGACGGGCCGCTAGTATTTCTTAAAATAGAAAAAATAATTGTTTATTCAGCAAACATTATTACACTTACAAAAAAGGTTTATAAGGAGTAAAATAACATATAAATGTTTTCCGAAATGATCCCGTTCCGTGTCATGCTGCAGCCAAGGAGTCACAGTGCTAATTTTTAGCAGGATAATAAAGTTTTATTATAACTTTTTATTATAATAATAAGTGCCAAGATTCTACCATTTTTTTGTAAAAATACCAGAATTGACGTTTTCTTGTAATGTAATGTTACAGTTTGAGAGAAATGTGTTGTAACATTATATTTTAAGTAGATTAATATTTCCGAATATAGTTTCCTTTATTAAAAATATTCCTATAATATTTCTAGCAATTTCTTGTCTATGCTATCCGTAAATTTTTTCTCTTTATGTAACGTTACAAATTGAGAAACAGTTCTAATTATATATTAATATTTATAGTAATATTCATAAGAAGCAGATGTACATAATTTAGTTTATTTATGCTGTTTGTATTGTCTCTAATGTTGTCATCAAAAAACTTATTAAAAAACCAAAAATTTATTTGACGGTATTGAAAGTGTTATATTAAAAATAAGAAAAAGTATTGAAATGTAACGGTTAACGTAAAAAGTAATTGTGACGGTGACATCAGTGTTGCTAGATTTAGATTTTTTTTCTCCATTTTGGGTAAAAATGTTTGTGTTAGCGAAATTTTAGAGGAATTTAAATCCTTGGGGAATTTTTGGAGAAAAGTAAAATGGATTGAGAGAAAATTTGGTAAATTTTTTTGTTTGGCAGTTTTAGTAACCTTTAAAGAAATATATAATAAAGTTTTAAACCTTATAGCGAAATATAAGAAATCTGGAAAATAATTTATTTATTTATTTATTTAACTCTTTATTGCACCATAAATAAAAATATACAATGACAAGTGAATAATTCAAATGAAATACAGTAACATAAATACAGATTGAAATATACACATAAAGGTACAAAAGGCGGTCTTATCGCTAGGGCAATCTCTTACAGACAACCTTTAGTTAAGGGAGAACAGATAGAAAAGGGCAGGTGGCGCAAGAGTGAATTAATAATTTTCGTGCATAAAATACAAAAACATGTAATGCACAAAAATATCAAATACATATAATTTATTAAACTACTTACTATAACAATATATATACATATATACACACACACACACACACACATATATACATACACATACACATATATATATATATATATATATATATATATATATATATATATATATATATATATATATATACACATACATATATACATAAAATAATCTTAAATATATCAATGAACAAAACAAACATTACGCAAATACTCCAAAGATGTCATACTACATAGTACTACTCGCTGCTTTTATTTCACACCATCAAGCCATGACTTTTGACAATTAGACAAGCGGTAAATAATTCTTACGGTAGATACGAATTCGCTACTACACGTATGAGATTGTTGTTACTCATGCGTTAGCGAAAACGTACCTATCAATAGATTTTTTGCCACTTGTCTAGAGGTGCTGATGATAGCGGGACGCTCTTACCGCCAGGATTATCAAAATGTTTCAAAATCCATGGATTTTTATCACATTCATTTAATATTCATGTATATTTTTTTATTTTATTTGCTTCTTAAAACGCCCTTCTTGCTAAGAATCAAAATGTGACATTAAAATTTACAATTTCTGCTGAATTTCAAGGTCGGATCATCAGATCATTAAACTTTTTTCTTAGCAAGGCCGGCCTCTTAACGCAAGGGTAGATAAGGGTTATCTGCGATAAACAAAATTGCTTTCTGTGTTCGCCGGTGACTTGTCATAAGCACGTGCTACGTTATAAATACAAATATATTTATGGTACGATTCCCCCTGGAAACCATCGTGGTTAATTCTAGTGGAATTCGTCACGATGGGCTAACTGTCCTGCTTTCATCCTCACCTATCATCCCTCACTGGTGACCTGCCACCCTAGAGCACAGGCGGGGTTACCAATCCATTGTCATCCATTAACCCTCGAAAAATGTCGATTCTTATCCTGTCACCTTCAATTTTAACCCGTCCGTCGTCTGCACATCTGCTTACGCTATTACTTTTGTTTCGCTTTCTCACTTTGCTTTGCATGTCTCTTCAGACCATTGCACGACTTCGAATCATCATACATCACCATATCCGAACACACCACCACTGACACCAGCATGGACTCCACCGACGAATCCGATTCCGAGTATACCAACCGATCCGAGTCAGACGAGCGAACCGATCTATCGGACGAAACGGACAATGAATACGATTCTGAATCGTACGAATCGAGTGGCGACGATTGGATTGCATCTTTCGACATCTCCATCACGAGCTCCGATAGTTCCGAATCTGAATGTTTTCAGCCTACCCTCTATATCAGTTTTGAATCCGATACTGAAAATGAATGGGATACAAGCTCGTCTACGGACGCAGTTGAATCTATGGATGAGGAAAACTCGGTATCCGATTTGCCAACCCCACCACGAGTTTTTGCGGGCATCGTCGACTCGAACGATTATTATGCAATGCCTAACGTCAATTATGCCGACTTGGAGGCTAATTATGTTGCTCTACCCACAATAAACATCAACATTGATTCAGAGCTAAATAACGAGTGGGATGTTACCCACTCTGCTATGGATGTCCCCACAAATATGTCGGGTGTGGTAAATGAACCAGGCTCGCCGTTGATGTCTTTCTTTTCACATCTTAGCGACATTGTTGTTAATAGAATACCTAGGAGACCGTAAGTTGTTATATATTGTTTTCAATTTAATTTAATTAATTAATTAATTAATATGTTTTACTATGTTTTCGCTCTTAAGGGCGTAATAACTTTGGCGTACCGAAGTGAGGCAACGGAAATTATGTGTCGATTTTCAATGTTCTTGACTGATTATTTATAAAGTGCTCCACAAGCAAATTTAAACGTTAATCAGAGAATACGTTGCATATAGATCTAACATTTGTTTATTGTTATTTTAGTGTTAGAAATAGTAACTATATTTATGCAACCTGGAATAGCAAACAAGCTGACGACCCACCTGATAGAAAGTGGTAACCGTCGCCTATAGACATGAGCAGTACCATGGACGTAGCAGAGTATAATTTTTCGCCCATGATACCCCTCCATGCGTTGCCAGTCCTGAGGACTCAGGTGTTATTCCTTTGTACCGTGTAAATTCACTGCTATATCCCACTGCTATAGCCCTTCAAACCGAAACACAGCCATGCAAACAACTGCTTCATGGTAGAAACACGAATGCGACAGAGGTGTCCAAGCAAACGACTTTTGTACAAAGTTTCCCTCTGGTGTTAAAATATATAATGGCATGGCAGTTAAAATATATAATAAATTACCGACAGAATACAGAGATCTGACAGATGAAAATTTTACAATTGGCTTACTGAGAAATGTGATTGTTCACTTGAAGACTATTTTAATGTAAAATTTTAAGGACAAGTTCCAATTTAAATATTGACACGCCACACGGTAGAATGCACACATGCTGTTTTTGACATTAAATAGTTCTAATGTATTTAAGTAAATACAAGTTATCATTCGCTCATTTATTTACTAGAAACTTTGCAGTGGCTTCATATTTTGCTTCGAAATTTTTCAAATACATGTTTGCCATCTAAATCCAAATATTTAGCGACAGCCCAAAAATAATATTATTGGACAATTAACCTTCTTAGTTCGCTAGAAGAGTCCTTTTTAAAATTAGTCGGAAACATTGCAAAATGTTCAGTTATTTTTGAAAATTGACAGATAATTGCGATGTTGCCATAAACGGTGCCAACGATTTACTCCCTTATTCATAAAAAAATAAAACTCCCTACAAACCTATTTTAATTATTACATTATTTTATATTAAATTATTACATTATTTTAATACATTATTTTATATTTTGTCTCTTTCAAACTAGGAATTTAGCACAAAAGAAAGAGACAAAACATTTTAATAGCTAAAATAGGTTTACGAGAGCTTTGACGTTTTTATTAATACGTGGATACGATTTTACGTTGTATACTACTAGTTTATAATGGGTATAGGTATCTAGCTTAGATTATATAGATAGAGTGTCTCCATACAAATGTTTCGAGAAAAACGGCTCAACTTTTTCATACAATTTTGCGTAGCAAACAGTTATGAGTGACTCCTTTATCACTTCTATATTTATTTTGTCTTATAATTTCTGCATCTTTTTAATGTGTAAACACTCATTTTAATTTTATTTATTAAATAATTTAATATGAATACGTCAAGATACATTGTGTGCGTAAGTATATAGAACACTGATAAACAAAACGAGTCAGATAATTTGACAATTGGCTGACAAAAAGTTGATCCGTTTTTGAGACTCGATGTCTCAAAAACTATCTATGTAATCTAAGGTATCAAGCTAAAATCCAGTGATAGTGTCCACGGTACTGAACAACTTGCTTCAAGAACCAAGTGTCAGATTTGACAGAAAGCATATGGTATAAAAAAATTATATAAAAAAAAATTTAACCTATTTTGATGGGTAATTAAAAAATAATGATTCCACTGAACATAATTCTAACTTATTAAATTATACAGGGTGTAAGGGACAGGTTAGTAAAAACCGAAATAATAATTTCAGACCATTATTCTGAATTGAAAACCAGTGGAAATTCTTTCCAGACCTTTTTTTTTCTTTTTTTAAATTATGTAATCTATGATGTATGTATGTCTGTTATAATATAAAGAAATAATAATATTTTATAGTGAAATACTATGAAATATTAAAAAACAGCAATGTAATTCGGATTAAAATCTTACCGTGACGCGCGGAATCAGCTATGTAAAGTCAATGCCACAAGCGTACGAAAACTACCTACGAAGAAGCGCCACTGACCGCGCGCTGTAGGCATCACGCGCCGCGTGAAGCACAGTGTGTTGTAAAATTTCAAATACATTGCGCGGCGTCAACACTAAGAATCGTTAATTATATGGCTGCGGTGCATTTCCGGCGGGAAAATAATCTGCCGTCTGATTTAGACCATTCATCTGAATCAGCTGTTTTCGTTTTGGCCAACCTGTCCCTTCCACCCTGTATATAATTAAATATATATATTGATTTTCATGTAACAGCGACCGAATTAACTTAAGTGTATTTTTTTAATAAATGATAATGGAATGGTACCCCGCCTGCGTTATCGGTATACGCTGGCGGGGCACCAGTGAGGAATAATATGTGAAAATAAAGCAGGTCAGTTAGCCCATCGTGATGAATACACTTGAAATTCAGCACAATGGTTTTCAGGAGGGGGGAGGCACGGGGAGGACGACCTGGTTGGGTATATTGCTAGCAATAGGGTTAGTTTCTCCATTATTAAGAATCCCCCTCCCAACTTAAGTGTATACATGTCTAGTTTCGAAACAATCCGGGACCCTTGGTCATAAGCGGCCATTACGCGGGCGCGTGCTAAAATACACGTGAGTTAATCCGGTCGTTATTTCGTCATAATATAATGTGTACTTAAATAACTTTTAACAATAAATTATGTATTAATATTACAGAACCGAGGATGAACAAATAAAAAGGCTTAGAGAGCAAGCGTTGTAAGATGTTTTGTATTGGATTGTATTGGATTGGATTGGACTAATAATTTGAGCCGATTTCTATTGTGTTGTGACGACAATTTTATTACTAAGTGGCAACTAGTTGCCGTGTGGCCCAGGCATAGAATAGGCCGCCTTCCTTTCACGTGGGTGTCGTAAGAGGCGGCTAAGGGAACTTCATGGTCGAGGGATGGACAGTAGCGGTCCTCTTAAAACACCACAAAAACCTAATTACGGTTGCCAACCCGCCTGCCAAGCGTGGCAGCTACGGGCAAAATCCCCCAATTGGGGGAGGCCTATGTTCAGCAGTGGTCAGTTAACGGCTGATGTGATGATGATGATGATGATACTGATTAAACGATATTTAATCGTTTAAACCGAGGTTTGTTAAACATTGTTTAGATAAACAGTGTTAAAAATTAAATTTGTAGTAAAACTTTGTCGTCACTACATATTTGGAACAGGCTCCCAGCATGGTATAGAAGTAGCTACATATAACATTGTGTTAGGTCTTATTCCTACTACAGTGCCGGTTTTGGTCCGCTTTCGGTCCCCGCTTAGTCCGTTCCGGTCTACTTAGACCACTCCGGTCCGCTCCGGTACGCCTTCGATCCGCTCTGATCCGCCTTCGGACCGCTCCGATCCGCCTTTGGTCCGCTCCGGTCCGCCCTCGGTCCACTCTTACTTACAATTCAGTCCCCTTCCCAGTGATGGATTTACCTGCAGGCTTAGTATAGAGCCTTTTAGCTTTTAGGGTGGCAAATTTAGCGCCAATTTTTTTTAATCAGAGTCAATTTTTTTTTTAATAAAAAAAGTAACTCATTTATTTGTGAACCATAGAGCCTACCATAAAATATTTTCTGAAATTTTGGCGCCAAACGAAATACAAGTTTGATGTTAAATTACATAATGCATACCGTTTAAAAATATTGAAAATGTTAAAATATAGTTTGGATTTTTATATAGTAGGATTTGTGACGAACGACATGTTAAGCTTAATTTACTAGGCCAATTTCGATATGAACAAAAACACGAAATTTAATCGGTAAATTCGTTATTTCACTTCATGGTGGACCCTAGGGGTTTTTTTTAATGCTTGATAATAGAATGGTAACCCCGCCTGCGCTATCGGTATACACTGGCGGGGCACCAGTGAGGGATGATAGGTGAGAATGAAAAAGCAGGTCAGTTAGCCCATCGTGATGAATACATATAGAATCCAGCACGATGGTTTCCAGGGGGAACCACGTGGAGGTTGTCTTGACAGGGTATATTGCTAGCGATGAGACTGGTAGTTTGCATTACTAACAATCCCTTCTCCCCGACCCTAGGGGTTATCGTATTGAGGTTTATTACTCTCTCTCTATCTCTCTCTCTTTCTAATTGATTTCTGATTAGATTGTATTGTTCTTAGATTATATAGATAGAGTGTCTCCATACAAATGCTTCGAGAAAAACGGCTCAACTTTTTCATACAATTTTGTGTCGTAAATAGTTACGAGTGATTCCTTTATAACTTCTATATTTATTTTGTCTTATAATTTCTGCATCCTTTTAATGCGTAAACAATCATTTTATTTATTAAATAATACGTCAAGATACTTTTCATGTGTAAGTTATATAGAACACTGACAAAAAAAAAAAACGAGTCAGCTAATTTGACAATTGGCTGACAAAAAGTTGACCCGTTTTTAAGGGTCGATGCTCTATGTAATCTAAGCTCGCACTGTAGTATGGATCGGGCCTTAGTGATAATTTATGTGCTCTAATAATGTCCTTTCTCTATTTATTTATCAATATTTGTTTTTTTTTTATACAACTTAGAATGGCAAACAAGCTGACGGTCCACCTGATGGAAAGTTGTAACCGTCGCCTATAGACATGAGCAGTACCATGGACATAACAGAGTATACTGTTTCGCCCATGCGTTGCCATTCCTGAGGACTCAGGTGTTATTCCTCTGTACCCTGTAAATTCACGCCATATCCCACCCTTCAAACCCAAACACAGCTATGTAAATACAACTGCTTCACGGTAGAAACACAAATGGGACAGAGGTACCCAAGCAATCGACTTTTGTACAAAGTCTCCCTCTGGTAAAAAAAGATTCCGGAACTTTTATAAAGAAGAAAAAAAAATATAACATTCTATGCAACGGGCGTTATCCTACAGGTGTTAAGTTTTTTAAAATGGATTGAACAATTTTAGTGTGATTACAAAATTTATTTTTAACATTTTATGCAACGGACCTTATTAGAAACATCCCACAGGTGTTCGTTTTTTGAAATTGAACTGTGAAATTAGTCGTAATTGATTTTTTTTAACATGATCGTGTAATGTGTACATTTTGTTTTGTACTACAGATTAAGAACTTATGGCTATGGTAACTTATGGTTTTTGTACTTATTTATACATAATTAATGTTAATATGTGTATTAGATTAACTAACGTGTGTATGTACTAATTAAAAAACATGATTGATAGTTTGACGTCTGTTATTAAATGCTCATAATTTTGTTATTTTTTTTTTATAATTGACATTAAGTGACACTAAGAACAAGGAGTTACATAGAAGGAATGATGAAATAAAAACTGTAAGTCATATGGTTGTCTCCTGTCTTCTTCTATCTATCTATCTATTTAAGAGCTGCGCTCTTGTCGGTGAAGCTCTTGCCACTCACTACGATTTTCAGCGAGTCTCTTCACCTCTTGATACGACACAACACCATCTCCTTTCTTGATCTGCCTGATGTAACTATGTCTCGGTCTGCCTCTCCCCCTTCTTCCTTCTATCTTACCTTCTATTATAATGTTCATAAGTTCGTCGTGTCGTATCAAGTGTCCCAACATTTTTCCCCTTCTGTCCTCAATAGTCCTTATGGAAATATAATTAGTAAAAAGAGGACGAAAGATACATGATCAGTTGTTATTTTTCTCAATTCATAGCACGTTGGTGTATAAAAAATGTGTATGTAAAATTTTTGTTCATTTACATTGCTAGATTATATATTTGACACAGTTTATGTAGAAAGTATGCGAGCAGGTTGTATCTGAATTTGGTAGGGTTATACGGCCGTATAACATTTTCTATACACTAGCCAGCTATGAATGTTTTTACTTATATTTACATATATACTATTGTTTGCCTTGCCACGATCGACTGGACATATAATCGCGGTCACCAAGTCCAGTTGGGCATCTCTGCTATAGTTATACAAGATCAGGACACAACCATGGGCGAAGCCACGAGGTTCAGCTCGTGAAAATATCTTCTCGTTTCCAGCCGTGAACGCTCCTGGTCCCTCGAAGAGTGCAGCATCTGCTACGAGGTGATGCTGCTAGATCAACAGGTGATGAGGTTGCCGTGTGCCCACAACTTCCACACGGCGTGCATCGCGACCTGGCTCCAGGAGCAGAGGACGTGCCCCTACTGCAGGAAGCCGGCCGAGTGACCGCCTTGCTTGTAAGTAGAAACAATTTGTTCCTATTCACATTTGTTTCAGTAGCAACCATAGTTGTTCTCCCGGAATTGTCTGTTTTTAGGGTTCCGTACCTTCAAAGGAAAAAACCGAACTCTTATAGGATCACTTCGTTGTGCGTCCGTCCGTCTGTCTGCCAAGACAGCCTTTCTTAATTTATATAAATTATCTAAATTAATATCGTATCCGAGTATATGCAATATCTGTAATCTTTTAAAGAAGTCTACAGGCGACGGTTACCACTTTCCATCAGGTGGGCCGTCAGCTTGTTTGCCATTCTAAGTTGTATAAAAAAAAATCTTCTCTCTAAATAAATGTGTAAATTATTAATATAAAATACAACACATATTACTTGCTGATAACATAGCTTTCAAGAGAGGCGTCGTCAGCGTAGTTCCATACTATATCTGTACAAAATCATTCATAACGTCATAGATTCGCCATCTTTTCTACTGCTTAATTAAAATTTTAATGCGAGGTACAAAGCACGTAATCCTACTTATAAATTGTTTATATTGCAAGTCTACAAAAATAACACTTCTTATTACAATCCTGTGGTAAGGATGCGTCGTCATTATAACGACTTACTGCTCGACCGCAAATCCATCGACATATTCGGTACAGAATATTTGATATTTAGGAAGAACTTGTTTTCTATTTTGTAGAATACGATTGAATATATGTTTTTTTTTTATATATATAGTTTTATCTTTTATATATTTATGATGGCTCACCTGATGGAAAGTGGTAACCGTCGCCTATAGACATGAGCAGTACCGTGGACACAACAGAGTATACTGTTTCGCCCATTATACCCCCCATGCGTTACCATTCCTGAGGACTCAGATGTTATTCCTCCGTACCCAGTAAATTCATGGATCGGTAGTCCTTAATAATATTATAAATGTGATTGTTTGTTTGTTACCTTACAACGCCTAATGTCTTAACGAGTGACTATGTTATTTGGTATGCAATAGTATACCCGTATTATATGGGATGGAAAAGGCCATAGGCTTTTCCATCAGTAAACATACTCGTATGCCACACGAACAAAGTCACGGGTAAAAGCTAGTACACCTATAAAGATGATTTTAAAAGCATATTATTATTCTCTGTACAGATAAAAACACCATCTCCACAGACTCGCGAGCTGCCAAACGGAGGCTGGACCAAACCGCGGCTCTGTCAAAATGGCGGGATTTTAAATCAACTTAAATTAGATTTTAATTTACAATAGCATCTAATTGAAGAGTTATCATTGAATTAAAATTATCAAAGCGGCTATTTGGATTCTCTTTATTGTGATTTGTTTTATTAGAACTTAACGTAAATGTGAACAAATGTATAATCGACTCGACCATAGACAACGTTCAATAGTGTAGTGTATAATAATTGATTAATCGATCGATTATACATATATGTCACGGATTTCATTTAGATAGTGTTTCTGTGATAATTTTAACAAAATTTGTTTAAAATAAAATAAAAGCTTAGTTCTAAATATTTTTACCGCCCAGTTCGGAATGTAATTTTAGCTGAGAAGATCGGGCAAGGAATTTTTGTTAAATTCTATTAAAACAGACTATACCTATAAGAGTTACCTGTTAAATATGAAACTGAATAATTAAATAAAATTAAACTATCCTATGTCTCCAAGAAATAGAAATAATTTTAAAAATTACTTTCAAATTGTCATTTTATCATTCTACCGCTGGGTTCGGTACGTTCATGAACCTCTTTAAGTCCGCTACTATTTCAATAAAAAATTTGTATAAATTCTATGCAACCATCTTATTGAATTTGAAAATTTTACATAATCTTTTAAAATACATATCGATATTGGTATTTCGAGTAGTACAGTATATTATAAAGTTTTTTTTTTATGATAGTGGATTGGTAACCTCGTCTGCGCTAACGGTAAACACTGGCGGGGCACCAGTGAGGGATGATAGGTAAGGGTGAAGCAGGTCAGTCAACCTATTGCGAGTAACAATAAATCAATCATAATAGTTTCCAGAGGAAATCGCGTTGAGGTTTACCTGCTAGGGTATATTGCTAGCAATGGGACTGTTAATTCCCATTACTACCAAACCCCTCTCCTCCCTTTTTAAAACAATTATACAACACTATAAATATTCATGTATTTTAATATGTCGATACTTCTAGATAGTTTCGTTAATATAAGGGCAGTGTCGATTCTTTATAACATAGTGTTTACTTTGTAAATATCACAGTTCGTAACTTCTAACACTAAGTTCTGCTTAATTTGGGTTTATATGACCCTGTGTAATATGAAATGTTTTCTGTATGTAATGGCCACTATTTAAAAAAAAACTGATTTATTTTTAATCATAGACAAAACCAACACTTCATTCATTCATTGCACATTATTCAACATACACAAAAAAAAAATTAAACAAAAAGGACCAAGCGCCACTTGTTGATATCAATAAAAAATAAAAAAATTGACATCATTTATCAATCAATATGTATTTTTAAAACGTTTAAATTACTAATTGAATATGTTGTTAATTGAAATACCATAACCAAATATTTACTTTTGGATCTCAGTCAATTGTATAATCTGTGGTTGTGATGACTATGATATATATATATATATATATATATATATATATATATATATATATATATATATATATATATAATAAATTCTGTCTTTTATTCTTTCAGATACATATTCTTATTAAAAACAACCTGTGCTCAATAACAGTTTAACATTTTTTTACGTTTATTTTAATAGTAAATATAGTCTGGTCTAGTCCTATTATAAAAAATAAAAAAATATGCTACCATAGTTTTTTACCAAATTGTAAATGACAGATGAAAAAAATGGCGACAATTGATTTGCCGCCTTTTTTCATCTTTCATCGTTCGTTAGTTTTAAGTTGGTAGGTATAGATACTTGTCTTTTCTGCTATTTGGTTTTAATAGAGAACAGAGATATTACGAACACTGTCTTGAACTATAAGTAACATGATAGTCCTTTATTCACGCCATCTATATTTAATGTTCTTGCATTAAATAACATTCTAGTTTGTATTCGAAATGTTTATCAAGCAAATTAGAACAAATCTTTACACCTAAGTGGCATAGTACATTATCAAATATAATAAATTTTCTGAGCCATGTTTCTTTGGGGAAAATGTTTAGTTAGACACCAGTTTTAAGACCTTAAACGTTAACAAGGAGGACCCACCTAGGGTTGTGCCCACCTCAGAATTGTCTGGTGTCCATTCCAGGATAAGGAGCTTTCAGTTTTAGAGATAAAACAGGTCGGAGAGTGCATATATACCTTTGTTATCCTAAAATATACATTATGGTCATAACACAAAATGATTTTGATAGTGTAATATGCTCTTTAGAGTTCAATTCAAATGTGATTAATTTTATATTGTTAAACGAAATAATGGAAATTTATTAAAATGTTATTTTTATCTTTTAAAAAAATAAAGCACGTTTTTGGAAAATAAATTTATATTATTATAGTTAGGAAAGAAAATGAAATATAATATATATATATATATATATATATATATATATATATATATATATATATATATATATATATATATATATATATATATATGAGTAATGAGTGTCAACCATTTTAATATTACGTTTTGACGTAAATTTTTCCGTTAATAACAATGTACTTATTGAAAAGTCACAATTTACGACAAAGATTACGAGTCAGATACTCGTGCCAGTTATTTCGCGCGGTAACGATTCAATATGGGTGTACAGATAAAAAATCACTTCAGACAAGTCCAGTTGAAAGTCTGTATCTATGTTGCATTATGTAAGTCTGGCTTTACTTCAAGATGTTACTAGATAAGCAAGGAACTCATTTTTTTTTTCGAACTAATTTAACGCCATCTGTTTGGGTTTTTTTATAGACTTATTCTGAACATGTCACTCATTGTTGAAATTAGTTCCTAGTATGTAATTTATTTGAGATATCGGTTCATTTTTGGCCATAGAAATAGAAAGCCAGATTTTTTTTTTATAAAATATGTTTGTACAACTGAGTATAGTTACCTACTATTTAATTTTTTTTTACTCGTACTCCAGTTCATCAAGCAGACTCAGCTTATAGAAACTGACTCAAACCTTGACTATTGCTAGATTATCATTTAAACAACTTCTTTTTTATATCTGTTGCAATAATGGAATTTCACTAATTTCTTCTTAATAGTTCGATTATTGCTATAAAAGAAAGAAAAAAAATTGGACAGGAAAAAGTCTATTGAGTAAACTAGTACTTGATAATATAAAAAAAAAGAAAATAAAAAAAAATGTACTTCAAACTTTGTCTATGTAAATGCTGAGTAAACATAAACGTCATACTATGTCTATGACCGAAATTGATATTTTGTCTAACGAAATGAATAGAGAACTTTTTAAATAAAAAATCATATATATTAAAAATTTGTTAAATTGTTTTTATAAAATTGAGGAAAAATTGCGACGTTGCCACACTTAGGTGAGCTATAATTATGGATGCTTTTAAAAATTCAATACTAATTAGAAATGAACAAGACAGCCATTTAGAAATAGACAATAATGTTTTTTTTTTTTTTAATTATAGCTCTCTAACGACATGCTTCCTTTGCTTAATACATATTTCAGATACGAATGTTTTTCAAAATTTTTAATGTTCTAGTAGTAAGATGTTATACTGTTGTATCAGGGCCGTAGCTAGGTCTAAGTTTAAGGCACGACAAAAGAACTTTTTGATATATCAAAAGCCATTAAATTACTTCTAAAAAGCGAATCTGTTTAATTTTGTTAAGGCCTTTCATTTTAAGATAGGGCATTGGGCCTTTAAATGCCCCCTAGCTACGGCCATATGTTGCATGGAACATTTTAGATATAGCTTTTATAAAGAAAATGTGATATCCCAAATTAGAATAAAGGGTGATAATATATGTTAGTTTTCATTTTAATTCCCTATTTAATCCCCTAAATTTTATATAATTAGTATAGGTATTTACTGGAAAATATGGTTCCTTATTTAAAGGAACTTATATTTTAGCTTATATGTCAAAAAATACTGGGATACTGGCCAGCGAATGATATAAAAAAAAAAAAATACTAAAATTGAATCATATTTGAAAGAGGCTGCACAAAACTCAAATGTTCGGCTACTTTTGTCCCACTTGTTACAATGCAGCTGTTATCAATAGTCCATGATTTGACAGTGACATTTCTTTCTTTTTTATTGTTGACAAGTGTCTGACATTTTGATGTATTTTTTTATATAACATTTCGAATTTTTATGACTTATTTAACATTTATTCTTTTTAAGTTTTAATAATTTTTTTTATACAACTTAGAATGGCAAACAAGCTGACGGCCCACCTGATGGAAAGTGGTAACCATCGCCTATAGACATGAGCAGTACCATAGACATAACAGAGTATACTGTTTCGCCCATGATACCCACCATGCGTTGTTATTCCTGAGGACTCAGGTGTTATTCCTCTGTACCCAGTCAATTCACTCCTAACCGAAACACAGTAAATTCCTTCAAACCGAAACACAGCCATGCAAACACAACTGCTTCACGGCTGAAACACTAATGGGGCAGAGGTACCCAAGCAATCGACTTTTGTACAAAGTCTCCGTCTGGTCTCCTCATACCTAATTATGGCGAAATATGAGGACTTATACTTATTGTAACATCTATACACTTACCATGTTTCTTATAAATAAATAAATTAATTATTGATAATTGATAATGTAATAATAACCCTGCCTGCGCTAACGGTATACGCTGGCCATAGGGATGATAAGTGAAAATGAAAAGGCTAGTCAATTAGCCCATCGTGATGAATTCACTTGGAACTGGACACAATTCTAATTATACTATAAAAAATAAACATTAAAAACGCAATTCTGCGTAATTTATTACCGCTCTGCGAAACTCGGTGGCAGTACAGTGAAAAAAGTCCAGTTCGGAACTACCTCATTGAGAAGACGTAGTGCCCTCGTGAGTGGCGCCTGATCAACATAGAATATCCTGTTGCATGGTAAGGCAAATGATTACGGTCACGCTTACTGAATTCTGGGGCAAACATCCTTATAAGATTCAGATAAAGAATATAGTACGTTAATAAATATACAGGTTTTTTTAAATAGGTGAAAATGGGATGGCAACCCCGCCTGCGCTGTCGGTATACATTAGCGGGGCGCTAGTGAGAGATAATAGATATGAAAGACGTCAGGCAATAAAAATAGCAAATGCCATGAAATAAAATTCCAAAATTTCGGAATCAATCTCGTGTTTTATGTTCGTTCACACCGAAATCAACATAGCAAATGGAGTTTAATATATCGTTCGTCATAAACCCTACCATAATACTCCAAAGGAACGATATTTTAACATTTATAATATTTTAAGCTGTATGTATTATGTAATTTTAACATCAAATCTATGGTTCCTTTACCTTCGAAACTTCCGAAAACATTTTATAGCAGGCTTTCACGTCAGGTAGCCCATCGTGATGAATTCAACAATAATTAATCACAATGATTTCCAGGGAGGACCAGGGTATATTGCTAGTATTGGGATCGCGAGTTCTCACTACTGTAGTAACAATCATTTCCCTCCTATATAGCTTGTTGTCTTTGTCGTTCGCCCCCCGCGCAGGGCTTAAAGTCCTTATTTCATTTAGTCACCGCAAAGACTTTGTAAAGAGTAGATGTGTCTAGGTCGCCCGCGCGTAACGCGTCATAATTGTAGTGTTTATAAATATTTATTACGTAATCACAATGCCTAGGTATTGTGCGGTATATGGGTGCATGAACAGCAACGCACAAAAGAATGATTTAAGTTTCTTTCAAATACCACGCGACGAAAGGTGTGTATCTAAATAAATATATGAAATTACTCTATCTAAGGCCCAGTTTACATTAATAAAGTGCTCGCTTCGAGTACTGTCTGTAAGAAAGAGTAGTCACACTTGAAGCGTTAGTTGAGCAAGTTTTTTAAGAGACATATTTAACGTATATATGGCTGCCGATAATACGCGATGTAACGTTAATCTATCAAATTATACACAATTTGCTATTCCCGGTCACACCGCGCTGAAGATTGGTGATTACATCGCCGTAAAGCCGCGAAACGCTCGCGTCTTTTTTTTTTAATGGGTGAAGATGGAATGGTAACCCCGCCTACGCTATCGGTATACATTGGCGAGGCACCAGTGAAGGGTGACAGGTGAGGATGAAGGCAGGTCAGTTGGCCCATAGTGACCAATTGAACGAGAATTAACCGCTATGGTTTCTAGGGGGAAGCGCGTAGAGGTCGACCTGATGAGGCTGTTAAATCTCATTACTAACGATCCCTTTCCTCCGAAACGCTCGCGTTTAATGTCTGTTTGGTCATAGGTTTGCCGATATTAGGTCGGCGGATGATTGGCAACTCAGCATTACACATGTTCTTATATGACAAGTCACTCTAGACGGATGATCCTTGTTAACTATACGCGCTAGTATATATTCATGCAATTAAATTACGTTGAATATGAATGTTACATACAGCCGGAATTTTGATATTTAGTTTTTTTTTAGGAGAGCAAAATGGGCCAAATTAATAAATCGCGAGGATATAATTGGTACTAGAAAAGGGCACATATGCTCAATACATTTTGAACCGAGAATGTATGTGAATAAAAGATTAAACTCCAAAGCGGTGCCAACACTCCATCTTGACAATTGCGGTGCTGTGACACCGTGCTCTTGTGAAGCTTCAAAATCGAAAATAGAAGTAAGTATATATATATATATATATATATATTTCGCCGTGTGGTCCCGGCATAGAAAAGGCCATCCCTTCCTTTTCCGTGGGTGTCGTAAGAATCCACTAAGGGACGGCGGGGGATGGGCAGCAGTTTCCTTTTTAAAAAATTCTAAAAGCCTAACTGCGGCTGCCATCTTGCCTGCCAAGCGTGGCAACTACTGGCAAAACTCCTCTTTCTGGGAAGACTATATATATATATATATATATATATATATATATATATATATATATATATATATATATATATATATATATATATATATACCTTTGGAAACCCTACCTTGTGCAAGAATTATTTGTTTATTCATTTACACATACACTGAACAAACTTTTCACTTAAATAATATTAATTAGATACACTCTTTTTTTTAAGAAAAAAAATAAATTATGCCTGTTACATATGATAAAACAACATAAAAATTAAGATTACACAATTTTATAATAACGTGATTATTTTATTTTAAAATTACAATAATAGAAAATAAATTAAAAATCCTTACTTTATCTAATTAGCGCGTAGCCACATCAGTGAGAGAGTATGCGTTTCGTTACACGCATATATTGCCTCATTTCATAAATAATAATAATTTATTACGTAATTGAAATGTCAAAATATAAA